TTTATAAGTTTATAAAGAAAAAACTAATTTTTTTTTCTTAATAGTCTTATGAACGTGGACTTGGCGCGATTTTTTTACAGTGAAACTGTTTTTGTTCGGATATTTAAAACTTAAACCCGAACTTGTAATAAATAATATATCAATTGTTACTTGTCAATATTATTTTTGCACATTTTTAATGGACAAATATCAAATTATACAAATCAACAATATATTCAAAAAAAAATATTTATTATAAATTCAATTCATTAAATTGTTAGATTAGTTCCCTGAGGATTTTTTACATTGAGTCATGATGCGCACGCATGTCTCATGCTTCTCCGCGGTTCAATCGTCCCCGGGACTGCTGGTTCAACTGACCCCATACATTTTTATGACAATTGATAGTAAATAGTAAATAAATAAACAATTATATCACTATAAATGAAGTTGGGAATTATAAATGTTTAATTCTTAACTAATTTTATAATTAATCAACTATTTCCTTTTTGCAACTTCTACTAAATTTTGAAAATTATTTAGTGTGTAAAAATAAATGTAAAACTTTAAACATTTAATTTTCGACTATGAGTTTTTAGATACATATACATGCGCTAGACTCAAGTACCTACTTTTGTGACTCTTTGGCCGTTGAGGTCATATAAAAGCAGCCTTTTGTTCTCTTCGTAACCCGAACAGTTCTGACTGAACCACCTCTGGAGCAATGCTTCTTATATACTCTTCAGGACGGAACTGGAAGGTTTTCGTTCAGCAGACTCTGATCTGACTGAACCGCCTGGAAAATCCACCTAAACACTGGACTTGTGTAGTCCTATTAGTGAATATACGCCTATCAGTGAAAATTTCATTAAATAATTATGCCGATAATACGGCTGCCCGATTTTAAAACACAGTAACTGCAAAATTTTTATACCTGATTTTTTTTTAGTGTTGCTGCATTTTTTATAACTTTTAAACCTTAATTTCAAGTATTTTTTCTTAAAAATATCTATATTTGAGTATTTTCTATTCATTAAATCAAATTTGTCATTAATTTGGCGGGCAAACTTTTTTTTAATAAGAAAAATTGAAAAAAATTTTTAAATGTTAGTTACTGTGTTTTGAAATTGGACAGCCGAATACTAATATTTGAGACAAATATTTGAGCAACTATGGTAAAAAATTTTCTATTCAAATAATATTATTCAACAAGAGCACTTTTAATTTGTTATGTATCATTAAACATCATTCTAATTTTATTAAGATAATTTCGTACATGTATTAATTCTTAAATCTTAAATAAATTACTATATAATTAATCGATTAATATAGGGATCCCTATATTAAGCAATTCAAACGTATTTTTGAAATAAACTTTTCTTAATATCATTAATCGATTAATAAACTGACAAAAAGTAAAACTTTAAAAGTTGATCAATTAAATAATTAAAAATAGTAAGCGAACATAACTTATGAAACTGACGTTTCCTATTCTAATTTTGAAGTCTGTCAATGAGGTAAAAAATTTCTTACTACTGTTAATTCAATTAAAAATTGTTTCAGCAAATGTTTAAAAAACATTTATTACGGGATAAAGTATTTTTTTTTAATATATTGGGCAATTTTGAAACGAAAATAAATCCCGTAAAATTCTTCAAAAAATTTTATCGTTATAACTGTTAAGTGTAATAAATTTTTGAATAAATCTCAATATTTAAGGTAGTTCGGTCCTGCTAGGCATATTTCAAGAAAATTATGAAATTTTATTTTATCGAAAGATAAATATATTAATAATTCACTACAAAAATTTCGAATCAATTCACCACACCATTTTTGAGTAATTGATTTTCGAAATTGCATCTTTTACACGTAAAGGTATAGAGAGATGTGGTAAAGTGAGTATGAAATCTATTTGCATCACTCGAGTGGCACGGAAGATTTCATGCTGACTTTAAAGACATAAAAAATTTCATAATTTTATTGAAATATGCCTTGCACGACCCAACTACCTTAATCATTTTTTAATTTGAAATAAAATAATTAAATCGATTGATAAATTTAAAAATTTTTTAAATGCAATAAAAATATGTTACATCCCTAGTTGATTTTATAATTTTTAAATAAAGACAGCCTTTCAAATTAAGGTCAAGCTTTTGAAAGCTCATGTGAAAGTTATCAACAAGCATTATTAGATTATTTCTCAATAAATATATAACTCATTCACCTTAAAACAAAAAATTTTTAAGGTGTCTATTACCTTTCGTATAATCTGCCACTTTCATGGCCATCCAAGGAATTATATTTTTACAACCTACAACTTTAACGATGATTCATCGAATGGTTGTTTTTTTGTTTATTATTGTTTTAATAATTTAATATTATTCTTTTTAAATAGATGTAACTTGCGAATTTTCATCCAAAATTGTTTTTTCGCAAATCAAAAAAACTTTTTTTCAACAAGAATGTTATTATGAGACAAATTGTTATTTCCTCAGCTAAAAAATAAAATTGTTCAAAATTTTCAACAAATTAATTTTTTTTCACAACAATAATCAACTTTTTCCAAATAAATTATTACTTTCAATGTAAAAAAAAAAAAATGAATTTTTCTACAATAAAATTATAAGTTTTTTGACTTTGAAAATTCATACCTGCGGAAAAATGTAATTTGTGAATAAAAGTTCGTTGCAATTACATAATTACATTTTGTACTTAATTTTATTGCAACAATAAATACAGCTAAATTACTGACAAATATACTTAAAAAATAATTAATTTTAAAAATCAACAAACAATTCATTTATACACAGAAAAAAAAACTTGCACCAAGAAAATTTTAAGGAAGACAAAAGTTATTTTGGAGCAAGAAGAAATTTTGTTGGCTCAAGAAACTTTGACTTCATTAAAAAAATTTTCAATCTTCCTTAATATTTTCTTGAGCCAAGAAAATTTACCCTCCAGTCAAGAATTTATTTCTTTTTTCAGTGTACTCTTCAGTCATTTTTTAGAACCAAGTTTTCAGATTTGTTAAAACTTCGTTACTTCTTATCAACACTTTTCATTACTAACACTTTTTTTTCAACAACTTCAAAAATCTCATGTCCATACGCGTTCAATCTTTTTACTTTTTCACCATTTAACTGCATTAGTTTTTCAATATTTACTTTTTGTCTATCTCCATTAAACCAGCCCAAGTTATCAGCAATCAGATGATTATTTTTGCAACCATCACACCGAATAATTACTATACCTTTTTCATAAGCTAGCTTTGACATAGTCTTAGAACTTCGCGTATCACATTTTTTACACGTAAACTGGATCATAAGTCTTGCTTGAATTTTAGCAAGTGGCTTCGTTGGTTCTTTACTTTCATCTTGAAGTTTTGACTCTGACGTATTCGCACTAAACTGCCGAAATTGATTTATTATAGCTGAAGAACGATAATTCTCGACGGTAGGAAATTTTTTTGGCAAACTTCGAGATGTACATACTGTCCTTAAAATTAGTTGATTTGGTATTTGAAATAATGTTCTTAATCTCGACATTATGATGCAATAGTTATCGCTTTCTGAAATAAAAATAAACAAAATTAGTTTTATTAATTTTTTTATATATATTCAAAATGACATTCAAGTTAGCAGTCACTTTACAATTTTTTAATTTTATTTAACAAAAAAATTTGCTCCAAAAAATTATTAAATATATGCTAAATTAATTTTTATATATTTAGATTAAGAATTTTATACTTACTACAATTTTATTAGATAATATATATTAATACAACAATTAAACAGAAGTTGATATCCTTTATTTACAACCTTAATTTTTTTTTTATATTTTTTTTGTAACCCTAAATTCAAGACAGTTCGACTAACCAGCTGACTACGGAAAACCGTCTTTGTGTATGAAAAAGTGTAGGTAAAAAACGCGGCGAATAACGGTGGCGCTGCGGTAGCCTTGATAGACTTCTATAGTGCGCTTATCACCGCTTATAAAAAAGGTCAACTTATAAAGCTGAAGTTAGCAGACATTTGTTAATTTTGAAAATATTTATTACAAAAAACTTTCACAAGTAAAAAATTTGAAGAACTATAAGTGCAATTTTTTAAAAAAATTTTGTTAATTTAAAATTAAATTAATTAAAGATAATAACCAAAAAATTTTTTAATATCAGCTGATTTCAGTATTAGTCAAATTGCAATGACACTGAAGTTAGAAGGCGTGTAAAAATTTTTGATTTTTTTTATTAATTAAATTACAACTAAAAAGATATTTATAAAAAATTGCACTAATAGTTTTTCAAGTTTTTTACAAGTGACAGAGATAATTTTTTCTTTTAGTGAAACAATGACACTGAAGTTAGAAGGCGTGTAAAAATTTTTGATTTTTTTATTAATTAAATTACAACTAAAAAGATATTTATAAAAAATTGCACTAATAGTTTTTCAAGTTTTTTACAAGTGACAATTTTTTTTTTAATTGTTTAATTGAAATTTTTTCAATAAAAAATTTGAAATGTCGGTCAACATCATTTTCATAAATTGCATCGTAAAATTTCCAGTAACATATCCAGAAGTTAACCATTAAATTTTCAACAATTATAATATTTTACAATTAAAATCTTTTTATTTTTATCTTTATGTAGTTCACGTAGGAAAAAAATGAAAATTTCTGAAATCTAAATTTATTTTGCAGTTTACTTATGACATTAAAGTGTTAGCTGTCACTTAGATTTTGTTCGAAAAAATTATTTTTTAAAAATTGCATTTAAAAATTTTTTTAATTTCTACTTGTCAATTTTCTTTGCTATAATTTATTTGTTATAAAAATTCTTAAAATTATCGAGTATCTGCTAAATTAATTTTCATAGTTTTCTTTTAGATTGGCAAAATTGATTATTAGATTACCCGCAGAGTATAGCTGGCGTTGTGAAACTAGCATCATATGTGATATATGAGTATTGTGCATGTTTACATAAATATGTATGCATGTCAGTGTTGTTATTAATAATAATTCCAAGGAACGTTTATTTGTTGTTTTAATAAACTTTTAGTAAAAAAACAAAAAAAGTGTTTAAAAATATTCACAATGGAAGGTGAAACAACTATTATCGTGAAATGGAATGGAAATGAATATAATATTAAAGATCTCCAAGGTGATACCACAATTCTTGAGTTAAAAGCTAAGATTTACGAAGAAACAGGAGTCAAACCTGATCGACAAAAATTGTTAAATTTAAAATGTAAGAAATATATTAATTAATATAATATTTAAATTAAAAAACATTTGGTAATTTTTTAGATTTTTTAAGTATCGCTCTCATCTGTTTCTTTATTCACACTCGTTGAAAGAAATCGTACTCTCTTTGTTGCACTTGATAGATGAAAACTTAAAAATCAAAATTCTTGTCAAATTGAAATAAAAAAAAATTTCCTCTAGGAAGTAGATTTATAGTTAATCTATCAAATGTCGGAGCGCTTTTTTCTTTTTAAATTTTATGAAAATTAATATGACATTAAAGTTAGCAATCACTTGACAATTTTTTAATTTTATTTAACAAAGAAATTTCTTCTAACAAATTATTTTTAACAAAATGGCATTTTTTATTTTTTTTTTATTTCTACATCTTAAAATTATATGAAAATAAAATTAGCCGACATCTAAAAATTTTTATGATTTTGTTTATAAAAGAATTATTACAAAAAAATAGTGCAATTTTTTAAAAATATTTTTTAGTTATAATTTAATAAATTAAGCTAAATAAAAAAATCAAAAATCTCGGCTAATTTTATTATTATTAAAATTATTAAATATATGTTAAATTAATATAGAAAATATTTAATAATTTAAAAATTTTTATCACAAATAAATTATAGAAAAAAAAGGAAAAAAAAAATTAACATGGAAAAATCTTAAAAAATTAAAAATCCAACTTTCTAAAAATAATTTTTCAGAACAAATTTTTTTGTTAAGTAATTAAAAAATGGTCTAGTGACTGCTAATTTTAATGTCATTAAATTTTTATTTGTTTGGAAGAAAATTTTTAAATTGCAATGCCAGGAAACCTCTTAAGATAGAAATTACTATAAAAAAAAAAATAAAAGATGATCTTATAAACATTTACAGAAATTATTGATGCATTGTTTTAAAAATATTTCTATAGTAAAAATTTATTTTTAAAAAATCTAAAAATCATCAAATGTCTGCTAATTTCAATTCAGAAATTGATACTTGGTATTTTGCCTATAATATCTGTAATAACTTATATTTTTTACCAGGCAAAGGTCAAGATGCAGAACAAACTATAAGTATGCTAAAAATCAAACCTGGCTTCAAATTGATGATGATGGGCTCCAGAGAGGAAGATATTGCCGAAGCGAATCGAATTCCTAAAGATGTATCCGAAGTAATAAATGACCTAGATGTTGATCAAGATATTGAAGATATAGAAGTAGAAAATGCTGAAATTTATTTGGCTAAGATACAAAAGAGAATTGAAACATATAAAATCGAAGTATTTAATCCTCCTCGGGAAGGTAAAAAACTCTTAGTTCTCGATATTGATTACACATTGTTCGATCACAGGTCTGTCGCGTCTAGTGGCATAGAACTAATGCGACCATATCTTCACGAATTTCTCACAAGAGCTTATCAACATTATGACATCGTTATTTGGTCAGCCACTAGTATGAAATGGATCAATGAAAAAATGAAACTTTTAGCAGTAACAGATAATCCAAATTACAAAATAGCCTTTCATCTGGATTGCCTTGCAATGATTAATGTAGTAACTTCAAAGTATGGTCTCGTCGAAGTTAAACCACTTGGAGTTATTTGGGGAAAGTATCAACAATATTCGGCGAAAAATACAATTATGTTTGACGATATTAGGAGAAATTTCATAATGAATCCTGGCTCTGGGCTGAAAATAAAACCTTTTAAGCAAGCTCACTTAAACCGGGATAAAGATAAGGAGCTACTGAAACTTGCTGATTATTTAGAAGCTATCGCTGAAGTCGAGGACTTTCAGACACTCAATCACCGCAAGTGGAAAGAATATAAAAGTAAAAGATCACACCGCAAACGTCCACACTAAGGACAATTATCAAAATACTTAGTTTATAAATTAACGCTATCATGAGATTGAAATTAACAGACATCTGAAAATTTTTAGGATTTTTCTAACTAATAAATTGATACTAAAAAAATTTTCAAAGAACTTATAGTTTTTTTTAAATTCCTACTTACTGTCCTAATAAATGTCAGATGTCTGTCAATTTCAGTATGATGCATCATCTATTTTTTCCTATCATTTTTGTAAACATATTATCTTAAGTTAATTTTATTTTCAACTTATGTACTGAAATACAGGTTTATTAATGATATAAAAATTTTTATCAAGATTTTTTTATTGTTATTCTTAATCAAAATTATTTTTTATTATTTTAACTAACTAATATTTTATACGATATAATTATTAAAAAACGGATGGTCATATAATAATGTGGAAATGCGTATGCGTAAATATTTATTCATGAAAGATATGGTGACACGACAAAATCTCCCCGACAAAATCTAATTTTAAATAATAATATTATTATTCCTGACAGTTATGATGGTATTTTTCGTGTAAATATACACAAAAAATCATGATAAAAGGGCACAACGAGATTTTAAAGCGTATTTTGTCGAGGAGATTTTGTCCGGGGAGATTTCGTGGTACAACCAAATTTGAATTAAAATCACATTCTTTTTTTTATATTTGAGTTCATCGTTAACATTTTTTTTTAATTAATGACAGAATCATACGAAATTTTTTAAATAAAACTGCTACCAATAATATAATTCTGCTAGCTTACCCACGCGAATATTTCGTACAGCATCGTGATAATATAATATATCTTCGTATGATTTCGTATGATTCTGTCATTAATTAAAAAAAAATGTTAACGATGAACTCAAATATAAAAAAAAGAATGTGATTTTAATTCAAATTTGGTTGTACCACGAAATCTCCCCGGACAAAATCTCCTCGACAAAATACGCTTTAAAATCTCGTTGTGCCCTTTTATCATGATTTTTTGTGTATATTTACACGAAAAATACCATCATAACTGTCAGGAATAATAATATTATTATTTAAAATTAGATTTTGTCGGGGAGATTTTGTCGTGTCACCATATCTTTCATGAATAAATATTTACGCATACGCATTTCCACATTATTATATGACCATCCGTTTTTTAATAATTATATCGTATAAAATATTAGTTAGTTAAAATAATTTATTACATTAATTTATGTAATTATACATAAATTTTGGCACATAACATACTATTACCCTAGATTGTAAATGACGATTTATATAATAATAACTTTTATATAAAATGTATCTAATTTATTTTGATTGATTAGCGTGATAGATTACTTAAGGTTTGAATTTTTACGCTTAATATGAAATTAAACGAGGTTTAGTCCTAACAGTGGGAAATTGCAATCCCCATCTATTGAAACAGATATATGAGAACGACCACTTGTGAGAGTCATGCGATGTTCGTGCCATCTAGCATATCGGAGTAAAACCACCACAGATATTTGATAATACTAGTATACGTTGCGCGCGCAAGCGCGCGTGTGAATGTTGGTATTGAATTATCTATATTTTCATGCTTATGATATGTTTGACCAATCACGTTACGAATAAAATGTCTTCATCAATGTATATATTTTCATATTTTTCATCTAAATTATAAGAGTGGATTAGAATTTAATTTTCGCGCGCAAGCGCACGCCTCATATTTATTGTCATGATGTATTTATGTGTCGTTTATGTATATTATATTCACTTTCAACCAATCAGAATGAGAATATTTATTTTCGACCAATCACATCACGAATAAATTGGTTTCACATACATTTCATCTCAATTTTATTATGGGACTAGAATTTAATTTTCGCGCGCCTCATATTTATTGTCATGATATATTTATGTGTCGTTTATGTATATTATATTCACTTTCAACCAATCAGAATGAGAATATTTATTTTCGACCAATCACATCACGAATAAATTGGTTTCACATACATTTCATCTCAATTTTATATTAGGACTAGAATTTAAAATTTCGCGCGCAAGCGCGCGCCTTGACTATAGAGTTTGCATATATTTTCATGCTTATGATATATTCGACCAATCACGTTACGAATAGTTTGATGCTACATATATTTCATCTCAATTTTATATTAGGATTATTATTATGGGATGATAAACGATTGACATCACTGGAATCATATAAAGAACACTTTGTATACAATTTTTTGTTTAATTAGAAGGAAATGAATATAATTTTTATAGAATACAAAGAACAAATTAAAGTCGATATAGGACGAAATATGAATAATCGTTTTTTTAATAACTGTTAAAATGTAAATTCAATAATTTCATTAAATAAATTTAAGAAATAACGAGAAATTTCTTTAAAAACAACGAAACGCTTCCTTCGTAATCTGATATCTACTGCTCTACAGCAGTAAGCTAAATATTATCAAACAATTAAATAAGAGGATAAAATAAGTTTTTTTCTTATTTTAAAAACCATAGCCAAAATTATCTGATAAAATAAAGACTATTGAGAAAATATAAAATATATCCGTAGTCGTTTTTAAGAACCTTTATTTTTACTGTTCAATAGCAGTAAACGAAAATTACTCAAAAAATTCAATTCGAATATACAGGAGAGACATTAAATTTTTAATTTTTTTCTAGAAGAAACCCTTGACATATTATTTGATTACAATTAAATAATAAGATTTAAAAGCTGAGAATAAATAATTAATATACTTCATTTACACTATCTATTCCTTACTGCTCGTCAGCAGTAAACCGAAATTACTCCAAAAATTCAATTCAATTATTGAAGAGACCGCCTTTTTTTGTTTTTTGTTTTCATAAGAAAAACAGATGATATCTTCTTTGATTACAATTGAATAATAAGATTAAAATGCTCAGAATGAATAATTAACATGCCGCATTTACACTACTTATTCCGTGCTGCTCGTCAGCAGTAAGCCGAAACTATTCAATAAAGCCTTTAATTAATTTTATATTTGTATAGAAAAAACATTTGATATCTCTTTTGTGTACAATCAATTAATTACATTTAAAATCTTAGAATTAATCATTAATATACCTTACCTACACTATTCTTTTCATACTGTTCGTTAGCAGAAAATCGAAGTTGTTCGAAAAATTCAATTCAATCATTGGAGAGACCTTCAATTTTATTTTTTTACAGAGAAAAACTTGGTACATTTTTCGATTACAATTAAATAAGTACACTTGAAAACTCAAAATAATTAATTAGTATACCCGATCTACATTATTTATTTCATACTGCTCGTTAGCAGTATACCGAAAAAACTCAAAAAATTCAATTCAATTATTGAAGAGACCGTCGCTTTTTTTTTTTGTTTTCATAAGAAAAACAGATAATATCTTCTTTGAGTACAATAAAATTAAAAGATTTAACAGCTCAGAGTAAATAATATATATATACTTCATTTGCACTATTTATTCTTTACTGCTCGTCAGCAGTAAACCGAAAGTAGTTAAAAAGTTGAATTGAATTATTAGAAAGCATTTAATTAATTATTTTTTTTTTTGTATAGAAAAAAAATTTGATATCTCTTTTGTGTACAATTAATTAATTACATTTAAAATCTTAGAACTAATCATTAATATACTATCTCTACACTATTTATTAAATACCGTTTCGTTAGCAGTAAATCAAAATTACTCAAAAAATTCAATTGAAATATTGGAGAGACAGTCAATTTTTAATTTTTTTTATAGAAGAAACCCTTGACATCTTTTTTGATTACAATTAAATGATAAGGTTTAAAATCTCAGAATAAATAATTAATATACCTCGTTTACACTAAACATTCCTTACTGTTCGTCAGCAGTAAACCAAAAAAAAAACAAAAAATTTAATTTAATTATTGAAGAGACTGCCTCTTTTTTATTTTTTGTTTTCATGAACAAAACAGATTATATATCATTTGGATATGATTACCTAAATATTATTATTTAGAAGCTCAGAATAAATAATGAATATACCTCATCTATACTATTTATTTCATACTGCTAGTTAGCAGTAGGGGAGGGGGGGGGGCAAAATGGGGTACTTAAGCAATCGTTATGATTTTAAGGACTTAAATACGCTGATTTTTCTCGTTTTCAGTCGTAATTAAAGGAAAATAATCAAATTTCAAGTTGCCGTAGAAAAAAAATTTTTTTTTGCGGGCAAAATGGGGTACTCCCTGAAAGAGTGAAAAAAAAATTTCTTCATCCGAAAATGAAATATCGTTAAAAAAATAACATTTTCTTATCGATAAGTCTACGAAAGAACCCAAAGAGAGGAACAAACCACCCCGAGTCGAAATTTAAGTCGTAGATTCAACGTATTGAACGTTCAAATCGTACATTCGACGTATTGAACGTTGAAAACGTAAGTTCAACGTATTGGACGTTGAAAT